TGTTACTAGAAGGGGTGCATATACATACATACATATATATGTATATAAAATTTAAGAATGACCACATGATAGTAATTAAATTATTTATTACAATCTGAACATGAAAAAAAATTTTCTTATCTAAACATATATACAGAATTAAGTACAGGTATTAATGTAAGGCAAAGATGCAAAGAAATTGAATTTTCTTTACAAATGTAAACAAAATACAGTATCAATAAGCTCAGGCTGAGGAGGGTAACGCCACAAAGAAATCATGTTCATCAGATGTCTCACTGGTCGAGAGCCAGGCCACAGACCCAGGGATTCCATCTCTGTTTTCATCCAAATCCTTTGCTGGTGAGAGCAGTTCCATCGCTTCACATCCTGGTCGTAGCTGGGGAGCGATGGAGCAGCTGGCTGGTCACCAAACGCATCTGGAGGATCTCCTACTGGGGCTGCAGAGAATGATGAAGGTGGAGCAGGTGCAGTGCAGTGTGCCACCTCTGGCTGACCAGAAGCTGCAGGTGATGCAGAGGACCTTGAGGATGCTGCAGGGGTTCCTGGGAGGTAAATTGTATAATGTAGGTAAGTATAATTAAAAAAAAGTATCAATGATGATTATATGTTTTATTATTGAAATAATGTACTCACTGAGACCCAAAACAGGCTCTGGTCTTAAGGGTGGTGTGGTCTTGCTTAATGGAATTTTGAGAGCAAGCAACTCTGGAGGTACTGGTACAGGACGCTTCGAAGAAGCTGTGGAAAAAAAATCTGAAACTTAGTATTCTGTAAACAGATCAAATGCACGCAGATGTGCATTTATCCACCTGATGTAGGAGTGACAGGGGTGCTGCAATCACCAGCTTGGTCTGGTTTCGAGACTGCTGCCGTTGCTTTGAAGTTTCCTGAAGCAGAAAAATATATTTTTACCACCATTACCCACATATGTCTTCTTGACAAAATACATATAAAGACAATGGAGGTAATCAAATAACATGTGGGTGTGATATGATAAATGATTTGTAATTCTTTAGCTTATTTAATTATATGGTGGGTCACCATCTCATTTGAATGAATGATACATTTTTATAAATCATTGCATTTATTTTTCTTTTACTCAAAAATCAATTTCATATTACACCCTCTGGATTAAACTGTCCAGCTCTCTCCTCTTCCTCAACTTTGTGGATCAAATACACAACATATCCGATGTCATTTTCAAGAATCCAGCGGAAGGAATTCCCCTTATACTTCCCAAACTGGACCAAATACTCCCCCAGCAATTCCTGCCTATCGGAGACATCGCCACCTCTCAAGAAAACAATGGAGCGAGCGTTCTCTTTAACCTTGTCTTCTCTGAGAGCAGGCAACCTCTCTTGGATATTTGGATTGTTCTTGATTTTTTTAGCTTCGTCTGAGGGATCTTGCCTCAGATAGCCATGAGGCCCTCTCCTGAAGTTCACCTCTACCTTTCCGGGAAACACAAGTTTTCTCTTCATCCTAAGAGACATCAGACAATAATGACACCACACCATAATGTGTTGATCGACCACATAATGTAAATCATTTATTAGTAATACAAGTTTTATTCATCCATTGGCACAGTTAATTTTGGTATTCTGTAAACACATGAAAGGCACGAAGGTGTTCATTTATCTACCTGATGTAGGAGCGAAGGGCGTCCTCCTACATCACAGGGTGCAGGAGCCCTGTGACCCCTGTAATAGGGTTAACAGGAGTTAACCCTATTAACCCTGTGACCCCTGTAATAGGGTTAACAGGGGTCACAGGGCTCTTGCACCCTGTTATGCCTGTGTCAGTGAATTAACTTTATGCCTTATTATTATAAAACAATAAACACTTGCTAGGGATATCGTGATGGACCGTAAGTAAACAACTTCTCTATTCATCCGATGTAGAAGTGTACTTTGAAAGCAAGCCTTTTCAAACAAAATCGCTTATGATTTTAAATAAATTAACTAATGGACTAAATAGCAGTAAAATACACAGGTTTCTTTAGCTATAGCTTGATAGATTTTTAAAAACTTTTAACATCTTACCTTGTTTACGATGGGATTTTAATATAAGCTAAAGTTGCTAACTCTTTCCAAAACTTCGGCAGTTTAAATAATAATAATACAAATTATATATAACTTTAACATTCTGCTGAAAATGATCACTTACGTTATTTGGAGAAGGATGGATACTTCAGATACGATTGTGAAGGAAAGTCGATCGGCGATTAAAGTGTCTTGGGGATTTTCCCGACGCTACTACAGTCGCTTAGATACAGCCCGCCAATCAAAACAGGCTTAAAGTTCTTCCTTATTGTAATCGCAGAAAGCGAAGACGTGGAGACAGCGCCCCCAAAATCCCGCTGGTGGTCAAACAGTGCATTACATCCGTAGTGTTAAGAACTACCATAGAGAATGAATGGGAAAAGTTAAGAGAGTTAATGCGACCGGGGTTCGATTCCCCGACGGGGAGCTTATTTGGATGCCTGGTTTCATTTTGGACAATGTTGTCTACTTCAGTGCAATAATAGTCTCGTAATATTATAAATGTAGTTGCCGTGGAAATTTCTGAAACCCCAAGAGCGGGTGTGGTTATTAAAGTTAACTTTAGTTCCAGCACAAAACCATTTCAGCCCAGACTGAAATATTCTAACACATCATAATAATATGTTTTTGTTTGAACTCTTATGTTTGAACAGTTTTATTGTATAAAATATTAGATTCCTTTTTTTCCCCAAAATTTTACAGTAAGTCAAATAAATTTTCAACAATTATTTTTGTTTATATTTCAGTTTTAACCTGCACCCTGTTTGCCTCAGCTCACATTTTATTTTTTATTCAGATTGAGTAACTGCAGCTTGTCAAAGCTCATCTCGGCTTCTCTGGCCTCAGCTCTGAAGTCCAACCTTCCCATCTGACAGAACTGGTTCTGAGCAACAGCACCCTGAAAGATGCTGCAGTAAAGGATTTTCTACAGAGTACTGATTGCAAAGTACAAAAACTGATTTAAGAAACTATCTTACTATTTCTGATGTGACAATTGTATTGTCACACCTCCCTCTAAAAGTTATAGAGGGAAAATAGACAATTCTTAGGATGCCATCCATAGCCACACTGCTGTGGTAGAACAATTCTGTTAACTAAATGAAAGACTCATTGCCATAGCATCTGACAACAATGCCACTATATGTTTCAGGATTCAACACCAAAAACCATTTCTCACACAAAGAACAGAACGTTCAGTCCGTTGCAATATTATGTTTTTAGGCTTGATGTTTATTTTCCGATTATTAAGTAATCGCTGTAGTAGATTAGCTACCGCTGCTATTAGCTAATCTGACACAGTGGTAAATTATCTAATTTACACACCTGTTGTACTGATGATCCGTCAGAGTGGTGTGTGGGTTCCCTTTTATATTTTAAGTGAACCAAAACACACAGAATTCCACAACACGTCTACATGTCAAGGTTGTCAAAATCAAGCAAGAATAACTGAACTACTTCCTTCTACCTCACTATTTTTTTCTTAATTAAAACTTTTTCCTAACCTAGTTGTCATAGTTTTGACAATTAGGAGCAAAGCACTGCATCCTTTTTTCTTTTACATATCATTTGAGATTTAATGTGTTCCTGACTACCAGTAGTTCATTTTTGTCCTCTGTAGAGGATATTTCTAAACTTGAATATCTCCCACCCACTGCATTCTACTGAATTAATTCCTTTTGGTATCTAGAGAGGACATGTAGGGCTTTTCAATGATACCACATGTGAAGGGGTGGGACTTTTGTACCTTCTTTTTTCTCATTCATAAAAATGACGTTAATCAGTACAAGCACATTTTATGGGGAGAGACTAAGTAAGTGCATAAAACTTTTTATTGTGCAAATTTTGGTTTAAAATGTTGTTGGCATATTCTAAATTAGTCTGTTAGCAACATATTAAAACATTCTAAGAATTATTTTGACCGTACTTTATCGTAGTATTTAAAAGTTGAAAAATTGTCCTCTGTAGTGGACATTTTCTGTTTTTTTTCCTGTATCCATCAACCCATCCATCCATTCACCCACCCACTTATTCATCAATCCATCCATTCTCCCACCAACCCATCCATCCATCCATTTTCTTTTACACCCTTGTCCCTTAGTGGGGTCAGGAGGTGCTGGTGCCTATCTCCAGCTAACGTTCCGGGCGAGAGGCGGGGTCACCCTGGACAGGTCCCCAGTCTGTCGCAGAGCAACACAGAGACATACAACCATGCACACACACACTCACACCTAGGGAGAATTTAGAGAGGCCAATTACCCTGACAGTCATGTATGTGAACTGTGGGAGGAAGCCGGAGTACCTGGAAAGAACCCACCATGCACAGGGAGAACATGCAAACTCCATGCAGATAAACCGGGGCCGGGAATCGAACCCAGAACCT